CAGGCAGCTGCAGGGGGGGGGATAGCAGGGGATCTCCTTTGCCCATACCTACATCAGGGGGGATTTGCCTCAGTTTCCTTGCAGGACCCTGGGCAAAAAGGAGGGCAGAGAGTGATCTCTACAGCCACAGAACACCACCACCACCACTCCCCCACCAGCATCCCAGGATAGCCCCCCACCCTGGCCAGACTCCCTTACTGCAGTCCTCTCATCCATACCAGAGAGCGGGAGGATGGATTTACATCTCCCTGAGACCTTTTTTCCATTCCCACCAGAACCTGCCGGCGATTTCCATGGACCTCCTGAGAAGGCCCCAGCCCCTGGCCCCCCTGCCCTAGCCTGTGCCTGGCGAGAGAGATGGAGAAACCTAATGTGGGCAAAAAGGAGCCGGTGTTTTTTCACATTATGAAATGACAGAGTAAATCAGAGGCGAAGCAAAACATTAGAAGGTGTCAGAGGAGTGTGGCTGCGGTCTCCAGCGTGGTCCCTGGAGTCCCCTGAGCAGCCGGAGGGGTGCAGCAGCACCCACCCACCCTTGGGGGTTACAGGGGCAGCAGCAGGGCTGGGGTTGCTCCGGTTTATCTCCCCCATGGCGTAAGCGCAGCCTTGAGCGGGCTGGAGCGAAGGCAGGGATGCGGCAAGCCAAGGCTGTGGCCATGAAAGCGTCCCAGCCGTCCCCCAAATCACATCCCTGGGCCGGAATCTGGCTGTAAGGAGCCCAAAGCGCCTTCTGGGCTGTCAGGGATGTCCCCCAAACTGGGACCAGCTGGGTATCACCCAGAATCGGACTCCTCATTCCGGGGACTCGAGTGGCCGTAAGGTCAAGTAGATGGGTTTGTCTGGGATCAGGATGAGATCGAACTTGGTCCCAACTTCCACAGCTCTCATGGTTTCGATCTTGAAGTTCTCCAGGATCTGGGATGGAAGAGAAAAGAGCAGATGGAAAACACTGGCAGTACCAACACCCACACACCACCTCCCCAGCCCCTTCCAGCACCAAGTCCCCAGTGTCCGCATCAGCGGGATGCTCACCTGCATGAGGAAGAGCTGCATCTCCAGCTCAGCAATCCGGCGCCCCAGGCACTGGCGGGGTCCAAAACCAAACCCCAGCCCCTTGAAGTGCTTGGGGCCGGCTGCCAGCCAGCGCTGGGGGCTGAACTGCTCCGGCTTGGGGAAGACCTCAGGATCCCGGCCCATGGCGTAGAGACCAACCTGCACCAGCGTCTGTGGGGAAGGATCAGCCCCGTGGGTCTGGGCTCCCCACACGGCTTCACTGGTGCTCAAGGTGCAGGAAGGGGGTGCAGGGATGGCATCCAGCCCCACGGCTGCTCCCCCCGTGGCACCTACCCATGCTCCAGGTCCCACCTCCACCCAGAGCCTCGTGTGAAGCGGGTCGGGGTGATGAGGGACACTGTGGCTGTGCTCACCTTGGGGGGGATGCGGTAGTCCTGGAGGATGACCTCTTGCATGGTGTACCTCTGCAGGGTCACAGCCACGGGGTGCAGCCTAGGGGGGACAGGTCCCACACACTTGATTTTGGGGACAGCCTGGCCCACCCATGTCCCACTTTGATGCACAATGTCCCAGCAGTGCCAGTAATTTGGGGAAAGAAGGGGCTGGGGGTGTTTTTCAGCAGACCTCACCTGAGTGTCTCCTTGATGGCAGCTTTGAGCAGCCGGATGGTTTTCAGCATCTTCACTCTGTCCCCCGCTGCCTCCCGCTTGGCGGCCAGGACCTCTGCCCGCAGCTGCTCCTGGACCCCCGGGGACCGTGCCAGCTCGAACATGGCCCACTGCAGCGTCATGGAGGTCTGGAGCAGGGCAGAGGAGCAAGGCTCAACACCATTCAGGACCTTCTCCCTGCCCGACAACCCTTCCCGCTCCTTACCGTGTCCACCCCGCCCGCCATCATCTCGGTGACGCTAGCCTTGATGTCATCCAAGGGCAGCTTGTCCTGCATGATGAGGCTGCAGAGGATGCCCATGTACTCCTTGGTGCTCTTGCGGTGCAGCCGCAGGTCCCGGTAGACATTTTGTATGCATTTGTCCGCTGAGGAGACATGGAGCCAGGGTATGGCTTTCCTCCCCCAGGGCTATGGTGGAGGAGGAAGGCACCAGGTGTGGCACCTTAGGACATCACTTCCCCATGCCAGTGGCTTTTCCATGAGAGCTGCCCCTGTGTTGGCTTGGGACCGCAGTCCCTGCTGCGGGACCCATACAGAGGGTGGGGGGTGAAGGTGCCCCACGCAGGCACATCCTGCAGGAGGGGTGTCCCACATGCCAAAAGCTCTCTGAGGCCACAAGCCCTTCTGGGAGAGCTGCTCCCCTCAATGTGATGCCTGTCATCTGCCTTTCATCGCTCCTGGATGGTTTCCAACTGCTCCGTCCCACAAGCTCTAGATGTGGAAAGCCCTCCCAGCCTTGGTGGCCCTGTGCTGGGTGGCTGGACCCAGAAGAAGGTCTCCATGCTGGTGAGATGAGCCAAGTCCTCAAAGGTTCCTTGGGTGACACAGGGAGGTGTGGGTAGGAGGAGTACTCACCCTGGCAAAAGATGGCATCCCAAGCCTGGACGTGGTCCCGCCACGTCTTGACGTTGAGGTGGCGGAGAAGGGCAGGCGGCAGGTAAAGCATGGGCGAGGTGGTGTGGAACATCAGGGTCACGTCCATGCTGGTGAGATGAGCCAAGTCCTCAAAGGTTCCTTGGGTGACACAGGGAGGTGTGGGTAGGAGGAGTACTCACCCTGGCAAAAGATGGCATCCCAAGCCTGGACGTGGTCCCGCCACGTCTTGACGTTGAGGTGGCGGAGAAGGGCAGGCGGCAGGTAAAGCATGGGCGAGGTGGTGTGGAACATCAGGGTCACGGCATCGATGAAGCGCTGCACCTCGGGGTCCACGAAGTCCTCCAGCAGCCCCAGCCGCTCCCCATACAGCACATGGCACACAGCTGCAAGCACAGCTCCCATGAGGGGACCCAGCCAAGAAGGATCCTGCCCCCATCCCCTCCACCCTCCTATGGCCAGCCTTTCCATGGCTACAGGGACCTGGCTTGGCCTCCTGCTGACTCTGAGCATCATCTGGCCATAAAGGCATCCGTTACTGGGATAGGATTGGCTACCTGCTGATGGCCAATAGATGATAAAACAGTGTTTTATCAACAGTGTTGAGTTGTTCTCTACTTCTCTGGAGAGAGGACATCCCTCTAAGACCCTACAGCTTTGAGAGAGAAGCTTGTTTGCCCATCTCTGAGAATGAAGCTGGGAGAAATGCAGCACTTTGCCCACCTTGGGGGGGGTGTTTCAGGGGAGGGGAACACGTCTTGCAGAGACTCATGCCCCCAACACTCACACTCCAGGGCAAAGCGGAAGAGCTCGTGGGTGAAGTCGGCTGTCCAGTGCTCCCGGCCG